TAAAAGGGAGTGAATGAACTTGTAAGGTGTCCTGATTCTGTGGAAACATGAGCAGGTGTCAGGTTACAGTGCTAAGACCCGCCCCCCTCACCTGCCAGTTCAAAGTGGCTGCAACCATCCCAGTACACACCTCATGCAGCGCGACAACAAACGAACACAACTCTCCTTCTCAGACAGAACGTTTTATTTAAAGAAAAAAAAAAACAATGAAGGAGTGTTTTAAGTGAATGCTACAAGATTAGAATAAAAAGATTTCATAAGACACACAGTGTTGGCAGGTGGAGACATCGTTTAAGAATAAAAGAGACAGTGACTTGATAAACCTTAGCTTATTTGAGGAAATTGCACTTTCTTGTTTTCCTGAGTTTGTACCCTATGGTTGAATGCACTTATTGTACGTCGCTTTGGATAAAAGCGTCCGCTAAATGACATGTAATGTAATGTAATAAACCCTCCTATTCATATTAATATCATAATTATATATTATATATATATAAATATAAAAATTATGAAAGATCTAACATTATACATAAAGTATGAATATATAAATGTATGTATTATTATATTTTAATGTTTAGATCCTATCACTTGGCAGGATAATATTATTTTAACTAGATATGTATTTATTTCAGTTGTTGTCCTGGTGCTCCATTACCAGTCAAATAGCTTCCACAGCTCAGTTTTACTTTAATACCAATGTGAGTGAGGAAACCCTGACACCCCCCCCCCCCCCCCCTTGGGGAACACCTCCCCCAACAAGTCGGGTCAGGAGGGCAGGTAGTAGCTTTTTGGTCTCCATGGGCTTCCCCAGCTCAGTTTTACTTTTATACCCATGGGAGGGAGGAAAGTTCCTTTGGGAAAAAAACCCTGACCACAAAGGGAACACCACAGGGCCATATTTGGACCCCAATAAGTTCTTAAATGGAAAAATAGGGCAAAGTTAGTCATATAGAAATATATATTAAGCTAAAATTCATGTGCAGAGTAAATGGAGATAAAGTGTTTAAAAGTAAAGTGGAATATTTCTGGTAGCATTGGCATCTTCACACAATGGCAAGAACTTCCTCGGTGCTGTCAGTGTGGGGGGAGCCGCGGCCGCTCTTTCTCCTGCAGAACCACAGCAACAGGAGAGAAGTTTCCTATTCAGTGTCTTAAAAGTTACGCGGCCATGTGGAGAAACACCGCCACTCAGTTGAAGACGACAGATGAAGAGAAGGGAATGTTATTAAAAACATATACGCACTTTAAATACTTCATTCAACATATTCGTTTTCTCTCATCGGTTAAGTACGAAGCAAGGAACATAACGGAATCAGATTTAACGTGTTGTTACCTGTCAGCTTTGACCGTGTAGCACACAAGAACCAGAACCAGAACCAGGACCAGAACCAGAACCGAAACCAGCACGGCAGCAATGAGACCACCATCCATTGTGTGAGACTCTGCCAATAGAACAGAAAGTTCAACCCTCCGGATCCCAATCTGACATCTCTTTTAATTCACTTCTTAATGTGGAGCCGCGGTTTCACTGCTTTGACTTTATAATTTGGGTTCTTAAGTTGTTTCTATTGTTCTGTTTAATCAGAGTTGGAATGGAATGGAAAGTTTAGCACCTTCTTTCTGTGGATCCTCGGAGTTTACGCTGCAGTTGACTGAAAAAACAGAACAAAAGAAATGAAAACCTTTACTTGAGGATGCAGAAGATGAAGCAGTCTGCTGCTGATATTAATACTCACAGGTGCAGGTAGCGACTTGGTTCACCTAAGCAGAAAGAATAGATTTGATCATCAATAATGTGCAGATTAAAAGGAGAATCTTTGTGAGAGTGGTTCACAGTGTAGTACCCCATCGCTGCAGGTTCTGCTGTAGAACATCTGGGGGAAGCACTGGTAGGTGTCAAGGCTCCGGTTGCTGCTCCTCGCAACCTGCTCACTATGCCCGCTGGGATTGGCCAAGTTCTAAGGTCGACATACAAGCACGGAGACTCATTGATCGCCCCGGTAGGTAAAGATGGGAGCTCCTGGTCTATCAACCATATAAACAAAGAACAACAATATAAGTGTGGAAGCTTCCACTTACCGTCTGGTTCCACCAGCGGAAGTCACAGGCTTCTCCAGTGAACTGTGGGACACTGTAATGGGTTCTGTCTGCGTCCCGGGTGACGGTGCACTGAAGGTCTGTAGCACTGACAAGCTGCAAGAAGACTGAGAGAGGACATAAAGAAAAGGACGTGAGGACGGCTCCTCGGTAGCTCCCAGGAACTTAGCTAAAGTCTCAACGTTGGCCATCAGCATGTGAATCTAACGGGGTGGTCTGAGCTGGTCCATCACCAGCAATCATCGAGTCGGTCCGGTTATTAACCGCCGGGCCACTTCTTCCCACTGCTGAAGCCTCACGCATTTCAACTACAGCGCCACATCTATGGCGTTATATTTGTGCCACAATCCTGAGCGCGTAATTGTACGTTTTGAGCACAGAGAACTATGTTGTAGCAAAGAAAAACATCCCGTGGGCGCAGTTTCCTCAGGTGCCGTCTCCACAAACTGGTTTTCTGCGCGCAGGCAGCCGTTGCTGCGCTCGCTCCACCTCTTCACTCACGCGCTCGCTCGACTTGCAGCAGCGTTACATTTGTGCCACAAAACCAACCAATCAGAGAATTAAAGAAGGTCCATTGTGTAAGAATACGTGTTCAAGAATCGGAGCCTGGTCGGGGTTATCAAAAATTCAGCCGAACGACTTCTCTCGTTCTGGAAAATGTATTTGTCAGATCACAGGTCAAGTATCAGCGCTGCGTTTGCAAAGGCAGGAGCAGTTCAGGCAGCACACAGGCCGGAAGAACAACTCACTAACATCAGCAAGAACATCATGTTTTATAACCCTTGAAAGACAGAGAAGGAAAGATTTCTATTGGCCCTAAACTGGCGTAGAGGAGGACCTTCCACCTCCCGCATCTAAGATCCGGTCACATCCAATGTCCAGACTCCTGACTTAACGTAAACATCGTAAACAGAGTGTGTATGTTGAATAGTGTTGGTGTGTCTCTAACCCCCCTTTGGCTGGTAAATCTTCTAGTTGACCCGCAGACCTTCAGCAGGGACACAAACTGACTCCCCATCCTGTCAGACTCGTGTCTGCCTGCTTGGCAGATCCTGCTTCCCCCCTTACCTAACGCTTAAATCAAGACAAGACAGCAAAACCCCCAACTAAGCCCATGAAAAGAACTTTTGATTATCAATTGTGATTGGCTGTGGGTCTCCAATCACAACGCTAGTAGAACTACCTACAGCATCGCGGAAGCTCAGCGAGTTGTTGAAGTTTGCAGCATTTGTGCTAAATGCTAATGGCCCGGATTAAAACACGTGCTGTTCTCATCATTTGCTTCGGTCATGTCTGATGGTGGCTAGTCGGACTTCTAATATCACTTTTTTTCGTCTTCTTTAGGAAGCGTTGTGATTTCATCAGAATCATCATAAGCATTAGCGGAGTGCCAATGAACACACACACACACACACACACACACACACACAAACGCACATGGAGTCAGCGGCTTTCTCTGCTCCGGACGTGTGTCTGAATGAAACACGCACACTACTCACGCGCTAAGGAGATGATCCGCCACAGGAGCTTCATGCTGGAGCTCGATCGATGCCTCACAACACGACCGTGGGCGTCCGATCGAGAAACTTTAAGAAGTTGAACTTGTTCCGAGCTGCCACCGTCTGCGCGAGCGTGACTCAAGCAGCGCGGGTTGTTGGTGGTGAGATGGGGGAGGAGGGAAGGAAGTAGGAGGGGGGTGGGAGGATCACAGCTGATGCTGTGACACTTGCGGATCTCCGCACTTTTAACATCCTATTAATAACCTTTGCTTTTTTATTCCATCACACCCCCCATATAAAAGCTAAATCGTGTGTACAACAGAAATACCCCCAAAAGCACATCTGCTTCTTCCACCAGACCCTGTGGATGCAACCTGGACCCGCCAATCACTTCCTGTGGGGATTCCCCTCAAGAAGGTACACTGATTGGTTGTTTAACATCACCCCACCACCGCACACCATGGTGTGATCTCTACAAGGAAAGGAGGAATGCAAAGTCACCACACCTTCTTTATTTAGAGAACAAAAGAGCACAGAAAAAGGGGAATGTGCACCCCGTCACTTTTTCCATGATAAACTACCAACTCCTGATGTCCCGGGACATCAGCTTCTGGTGGTCCACTCGGTTATCATTGACTTTAAACTGAACTGGAACTTTGACATCTGGGGAGGGGGGATCAAAAATCCCTGTGGTCCTGTGTTTAGAACCACATGTTGCTCCCTGATGGTTAAATACCAATGTCACCCTGTGAGATGGAGGGTCACTATTGGGTTAACAGACACAGCTCAGATGAAGCCTCCGGTTCAATGCACACTTTCTCTCTCACTCTGAAGTAGTTGCAGTCTATCTTTTGGAGGGGGGGTCAGAGGTCAGTGCAGCACCACTTCCTTTCCTTCACCATCTCAATGGAGAGCTCTATCTGCTTCTTCCCCGGCCTGGGGGATCGGGTGTCGGGGGACAAGTCCGGGTCCAAGTCCGGCTGACATCGGGCCCCCGGGGCCCCTCCGAATTGCCGGCTTGCGTTCTTGGCCACCGGCTTGGTTCCGTACACCGAGCTGGGCATGGGCCGGGCCCGGAAGGCCCGCCGCTCCTCCTGCGGCCCCAGCCTCTCCAGCTCCGCCAGGATCTTGGCCTCCCGCTTCCTCCTCTCCCTCTCCAAGAAGTGGAAAGGCGCCCTGTCGCCGCCCCGCTCGCCGCTCCGAACGAAGCGGAAGCGGCGGCGGCGGCTCATCATCTCGTAGAGGGGCAGGTGTATGTGCGCCGGTGCCGGCGACGCCCGGAACGTCTTCTGGCACTCCTGGAGCTCCTCCAGCTCGCGCCTCAGCAGCGCGTTCTCCAGCTCCACCTGCGAGCGGGTCCGCACCTTGCGCCGCTTCCTCTCCTCCTCCCTCAGCATCATCTGGAAGGGTTTGGGCACGGTGGCCTTGAGGTCGGAGCCGACCCTGGACCCGGTTTGGCGGGACGATCTCCCCCGCGGTTTCGCACTGGCGGCGTCGTTGGGTTGGAACCGGTACTGGTTCCGGGTGGGCGTGTCCTCAGGGCTCAGCAGGAAGTCTCTGGGAGGAGTTTAGAGCAGAGCCCATTGTGACAAACGATCTGGATCGACGTCCCCGAGACTTAAGAACAGCTCCACCAACCTGGTAAAGGCCCGGTCCTGGACAGGGGTCCTCGGTGGAGTGTCCTGCCCGTGCTCCCCCAGGCTCTCTGCCCCCCCCAATTCTGACTGGTCGGACCCGCTGGACGAGTCGTGGAGGTCCAGCTCCTCCTGCGAGTAGATCCTCTGGAGTTTACTGGCTGGGCTGCTGCTGGGGGCAGAGGTCACACATCACGACCTTCACACCCACCCTTCAAGTAAAATACACACTCTCACGGGCTTTACATTTGTACTTCTACTACAATATCATAGCTGAAGCGCACATATGTTATTCTTATTCTTTCCTTGCATTTTGCCAGACATGAAGGCCACACAATGAATCTTGTTCTATACAACAGTGTCCCCTTATGCCATTAAGAAGAATTACAGTCTTTGCTTAAATCTGACTTCTACTTAAAGGAAATGGATTAATCAGAGTAACTCCGTTGTTGCCATAGTAACAAAGTGTTTACAAACTTGATATAACATGAGATTAGTTTTAGACTAAGTTCATGGGCTTATTTGTTATCCCCCAAAAAGCCCACAGCGAGCTCATTATTGTGCTGAACCAACGAGACAGCGAATTAGAGGAGCGTCACATTGTGACTGACAGGGAGAAACCACTGAATACTACGACGTCTCTAGGTAAGTCTGATGAATCCCACCTGACGGACAGACGGTCCTCTCTGCTCTGCCCTCCTCCCCCCCCTTCCTCGCCCTCCTCCCCCTCCTCCTCCTCCTCAGCAGGCCTCTCCTCGCCCTGACCAATGTACATCCTCTCCAGCTCGGCCATGTTCCTCAGGTGGCTGCTCCTCAGTCCCTCCAGCCGGCGGTAGTACTCCCGGTTGGAGAAGTGGACGTGCGGCTCTCTCTGCAGGCCGTAGATCTCCAGCGACAGAGACCTGCGAACGCTGCGGCCTCCTTTCACCTCCTCGCCGGCCTCCTCGCCCACGCCGTTCTCCTGAGGGGTGTTCAGCCATCAGTAAAGGGACTCGCTGCTGCTTCATCGTGGTTTCATCGTCCCAAAGTGCCTCATATGGTTTCCGTGGAACATTTTTGATCTGCTTCCACCTTTTGAATTCTGTTCCATACTTTTAATATTTATATATTTATGCCTTTATTTTCAAGGAATGCACCAAACACCAAAACCAAAAATCTTGTTTGTAAAAACCTACTCGGCAAAAAACTGGGGTTTATAAACAGTATAAAAGTGTTAATGAAATTAAATTATTTTCAAATAAACCGTTAAATAGTTCACTAAAATGTCTACTTTTTCATCTGACAGTGGAAATAAATACAAAAAGTAAAAAGCATGCACTAAATAGAGTTCATGCAACAGCTGAGGTTGCAGTCGAAAGCCAAAGAGCTCAAAGGAACTCAGCGTGGGAATCCTCGTCTTCATGCAATCAACATCGTACGATGTCAAACATGAAAGGAGTCCAAACAGTAAATATGAATACGTCACATCTGTCACAAGAAGTGCACCTTAAACAACTATAACAGCTTTGTACGTCTGCAAATAAACACGATGGTAGCTTACCTCCTCTGGAGGAGAGTCCTGTTCTCCTTCCCCCCCGTACGGAGACATGGAGTCCTTGTTGCGCACGGAGGTCCAGCGCTGCATCTTACTCTGCATAAAGAAGCATCCTCCGTCTCCTCGGTCTGAACAAGTAGTTAAGAGGAGGCTAACGGAGATTAGCCCCCCACACACAGACACACAGTCTGAGAGCTTTATCCTCTTACTATGGGGAGCAGTCGTGCTCTTATAAGACTCCTCCAGATGGTCCAGATGGACCGCTAGCTTTTAACTTGAAGACCTCACCCAAAGGCAGGTAGACGCTCCCAAGCTGATTTACAGATTAACTTTCTTAAATGCAGGACGAGGGACGATGCGACGCCTCCTGCTCGCGTTGCACTTTGTAAAAGAGAAGAAGGAGGTTATGCAGGAGCGAAGGTGGAGAAGTGAAAAGACAACAGGAGGGTAAAGTGTCTGAGATGATGAGCATGTGGGACAGTCGGGGTGGGACAGTCAGGGTGAGGCAGTCAGGGTGAGACAGTCGGGGTGGGACAGTCGGGGTGAGACAGTCAGGGTGGGAAAGTCGGCGTGGGACAGTCAATACAATACAATACGTACAATCAATACAGACTATTTTATTCCCGTTATATTCAAGTACCACAAACACATCGAGGAGGAGGAGGAGGAGGAGGAGCATGAGACACAGACCACAACCAACTGTGTTAATTGGTTTACTCATGTTTCTCATCACTGTCATTACGAGTCTCCTACCGTCTGTCTCCTGTCTCCCCCCCATCTGTCTCCTGCCTCCCCCTATCTGTCCCCTGTCTCCTACCGTCTATCTCCTGTCTCCTCCCATCTGTCTCGTGTCTCCCCCGATCTGTCCCCTGTCTACTACCGTCTGTCTCCTGTCTCCTCCCATCTGTCTCGTGTCTCCCCCTATCTGTCCCCTGTCTCCTACCGTCTGTCTCCTGTCTCCTCCCATATTTCTGTCTCCCCCTATCTGTCGCCTGTCTCCTACCGTCTGTCTCCTCCCATATGTCTGTCTCCCCCTATCTGTCGTCTGTCTCCTACAGTCTGTGTCCTCACATCTGTATCCTGTCTCCACTCATGTGTCTCGTGTCTCCCCCTATCTGTCCCCTGTCTCCTCCCGTATGTCTCCAGTATCCTGCCGTATGTCTCTCTCCCTCTATCAGTATCCTGTCTCTTACAGTAAGTCTCCTGTGATGCAGATCCTGAAATAAATAACATGGAGACCCTCAATTCAACTTGTGAGTGATGATGCAATATTGATGTGGAAACAAAGTGTGGCAATCATAACAATATATGAACACATTATTGCACTAAGAAATGGAGGGCACATATGATTGACGCTGGAGCGCAGTTGTGAGAGTTGCGCTACAGATGTGCTGACTCATCGCAGAATCCCTGCATACCGCTTCCGTCCACACGGCGGCGCTGCTGCGCTTTTAGCCTGTGATCACATTCCTGCAAAGTCCACGAAACACAAAATATATCTTTATCCTATTGAATATTTTGGTTTGAGGGCGGCACGGCGGCGTGGTGGTCAACGCCGCGCCTCACAGCAAGAAGGTCCTGGTTCCACTCCGCCCAGCGGCCTTTCTGTGCATGTTCTCCCCGTGTCTGCGTGGGTTCTCTCCGGGTTCTCCGGCTTCCTCCCACAGTCCAGAGACATGCTCCGGGGATCAGGTTGATTGGGGACTCTTTATTGCATTACCTACTGTTAATATTTCAATGATTGTTTTTTATTAACTCTGTTTTATTGGTCTTTATTGGCAAGTGGAGTGAGGAGGCCTTTCAGCTTAATTCTCAGAATACTTTCCTCTCAAAGTTCACGGAGCTTTTACGCCTCTTCCTCCGTCGTGCACGCGGGCCTTTGAGTGTGTTCTACTTGTAGGACGGAGGATTTCCCAGCATGCACCTGTGACACAGAGTCACAGGTGGGTTTAGGAATATAGTCAGTCGCTCAAATCTCTTTGCAGCGACCATCAGCCTGTTGCTGCAGCTTTAATAATAAATATAGATGTTCTCCGTGTCTCCGGGACGTCCCGGGGACATGTGAATGTGTGTGTCCAGTTGACCACTGGGCGGCTCGGGCCCGCTGGAGGGGGGGTGAATGGTGGCAGTGTTCGGCCGAGTAAACAGTCACCACAAGCCCGACCTCCGCGGCACAAAGCCTCCGTTCTGCTCTGTGCGGCATCGAACCGTCCGGAGGGTGAAGTGCTCCGTGGATCCCTCGCGTGTCTTCCTCGGCGGCCCTTCAGAGCAAAGACCTGCTGGAGGTCAGGAACAAGGTCACAACCACCGAAACATCACACGTCTACGGAAGCAGGGCTGATGCCCACCGGCTTACTTTGCTTTTTCTACATAACACGTTGCAGCTTTTGCCACCAGCACATTTGTTCTTACACGGTGTGCTTTGAAAGATGCTGAATCCGGTTTACTTGATTAAATATGGTAACATTTTTGCATTTCTTGACTCGTAACTTCAGTTCATCGGACTTCCCAAACAAAACAATGTCGTAATAATAGCAGAAGTCCCTTAAATAGCAGAAGCATCGTGTTCATGAACGTCTGATCTGAACATGATCATCTGCTACAGATGATTCTTTTTTCAAATGTGATAATAAGAAAAGGTGCGACACAGATGAGATGTCCCCCCCCCCCCACACACACATTACTGCGTCTTCCTTTGATCAATCTCTTTGTGAAATTCTTTTGGGGGTTTTAACTGAAAGGACCTTTTTGTTGTCAGGAGCCACGTCGCTGCTACAGAGAGAAACACGACCGGAAGAGGCCTCGGCTCAGGAGGAAACCCCCCCCGCCGCCTCGCCTCGCTTCACAGAAACACGCAGAGGTGCAGCCCCCCCCCCCCCCATTGATAAGGTAGACCTGCGCTCTGCGTCTTGTCTGCTTCCCTCCCACACCGAAGGCAGGGGGGGGGCAGTCTACTCTGCTCTCTGCGGCCCTCGGACACACTTCTGTCGGAGGGGGGGGGGGGGGGGGGAGTATGTACCTGCTGATGTTCTGACCGATTCGGTTCCCGAAGGCAAGAAAGCCCAGGGTGTTCACGCCGATGGAAACATGGCTGTGAAGCTGCATCGTTTGAGGACAACAAAAAGGTGTTTACCTGCTTCATCGCCGCTTTTACGGCTCCCACCCCGGTTTCCCAGAATGCATCTGGGCCGAGAACAACTCGGTGGGAATGTTGGTGGCCGGTTGCACGCGAGAGAGAGAGAGAGAGAGCAATGACAGTGGCGAAAAGGCAGGGCGCTGCAGTGCATGCTGGTCTATCGGGGACCCTCTCCATCTTCTCACCTTTCGTCCTTCACGTCTCTTCTCACTCGCCGGGCTCACGCTGCCTGCACAGGGTTGACTGACTTAATGTCTCTGTGACATCGACGCGGCGAACACGCACCTGCTCCTCGGGCGCTAAAGTGACGTCGCTTCGTTCACAGGTCGATGCTGCTCTTCCTTCTTCAGAGCCACACGGAGTCGACGTGTCCTCACACGACCACCAGCGTCTCTGAGCCAAACCGAAACCTCAGATCAGAAGCATTCGGCCAAAAAGGAAAGCAGACTGCAGATGCTTTTTAAACTTTAGTGCTCGCAGTTAAATGAAGACACATCTGAGGCGACACCCTAAAAAAGTGCCCCGTTTTAGTGTTATAGGGTATTAAAAAACAAACACACATTTTATTCATAGATAACATCACAGAGCAGCACCTCTTACGGTCTCGCGGCGTGAGACTCCCTCCGTCCCTCAGACCCTCACCGAGGACGAGGACGACTCCTTTCATGGTCAAAGGGATCTCTCGCTCCTCGAGAGGAAAGAACTATAATTAAAACTACAACATGATCAGGAGAGGATTATTGTGAGGCTGATGGTTCGTTAATGAACAAAGAGACGCACCCTCATTGTGGAGCAGCGGCTCCTGCTTTCCTCCACCACACATTTCAACGGACGCAAATCAAATACAGTTTCAGATGCGTTTTTAAATCTCTGCTTGGCCCAGAGACAGAAGCACAAAGGTCCTTCCCCGTGTTCGGCCTTTGCGCAGGCGAAAGGGGAAGATTCCTGCTGCCTTATATGGCGTCATCTTTCGCTCCATGGCAGCCGACCGGGTGCATCCTCTCCGTCTGGGCTCTTTCTCCCCTCCATATTTCTGCAGGAATGCTCGAGGAGCTTTTGTTTACACGAACTTGGGCCGTCGTCCGTCCTCGAGGCTCGGCTTGACCCAATCCCGTTGCCGGGGACAAGGTTAGGTCCCACGCACGGACCTCAAGTGTCCCAAAAGCACCCACGGCTGCAGCCCGATTGTGCCGTTATTCAGTGGAACGACCTCCTGCGCGGTCGCGGCCTCTGGCGCTCGATGGCTTCTCAGGAACAACACGGCTGTTCTGTGGGCTCTGATTCTGTCTGCTCAGCCACACCCACCCGCGCGTAGAGGGACTCTCTGGGTTTACTGCAGAGGAAATGGCCCATTAGAGGCGGTGGTTTGATGTGAAATGTTTGAGGAGTGTGTGTGTGTGTGTGTGTGTGTGCGTGTGCGTGGCTCTCAACAGAAGGACCTTGATGTCGTTCCAGCGGCGTTTGTTTGTGTCGAGGTGGAGCCGCTCCTCTCTCATCTCCAGCTCGGTTCGACTTTAAATGGACCCTAATTTACTGAATGAACATCACGCTTTACCTGAAACTAGAGATTGAGACCATAAACGCATGTTTACAATGTTTACTGAGGGAGTAAATCATAGTTTCAAACAGTAAACAATGGCAACAATGAATCCACATAAATCTCAACATTAATATTGTAATTAACGAAGATTTTTATATCCTATTTTTTGTCGAGATGCATGTTAATGAAGATTAACAGTAACATCTTTGTTACTGCAGCAACCAAATACAACAAACAACCTCTTCCTCTTCCTCTTCGACTGCGTCTGCAGAGACACTGAGACCCACAAACACTGACTTCCTGTCGGGGGAATTGTGGATGTGAGTGAAGCGCGGTCGCTTGCTGCCTCTCTTGCTGTGATGAGTCACCTTTCAATCACACCTGCGTGTGAGAGCTGCTGCCTTTGTGTCCACGGCCGCTTTCTGGGGAAACGCCTGCGTTTCGCGTGACGTTTGGGTCGCTAAGTAAGAGGAATTTGTTAAATAATTACCAGGGTATTTGCTTTGCTCCAATGAATGTCAAGAATATTAAGAATATTAATATTAAGACAAAGCAAATGAAGCTCCTTAAAGGGGCAGTGCAGCTTTGTTAAATCGCCTGAAACCACTTTGTTTCTTTGTTTCTTCACAGGCTTCAAAGACACAACGTTTCTTTTCCCTTCAGGAGAACCTGCTGATCTTGTTCTCCAGCCTCATGTGGAATAATTTAAGTTGGTAAAACATATTCCCACATGTTGTGTTGTATGAGTGACAAAGAAACAGCAGACAATTTGATGACTAATATTGTCATCAAATTGCCCTCCCCGACTGGTCCTTCTGGTTCTCTCACTGGGAATCCAGAGCTACGCACACAGCAGCAGTTGGACTCTTCATGAGGATGTTGTGAAACGGCGCTTCGGAGCGAACGCGTGTTGTGGTTGTGTCCTCGGAGTGTGTCGGCTAACTGCTTCATGTGTGGATGGTAAACAAAATCATTCAAAACAAAACAGCAGGGAGCAAAACAACAATTGACATGGTCTCTGCAGAGGGAAACGCTGTCGGTGTTTCTTACTAGAGCCAGTGACATCATCACAGGTGTCTCTCTCTCACACACACACGTTCTCTGGTTGCTGTACCTGAGCTCCAGGTGAGGCAGAGAGAGAGGATGGAGGATGGAGGAGGGAGGAGGGAGGAGGGGAGGGCAGGTGTGCTTTCTTATTCCCACGAGAGAGAGCATGACATTGAAACGAACAGCAGTGCTTTGGTTTATTTAGCGCCTTAAAAAGCAGAGTTTACAAAGTGAACTGATGCACACTGAATTAAAGAGGCGTGACAACTAACAACAGAAGTAACAGAAACACAACAACAACAGATGAGCTGTTGTTTCTTCTATAATCACACCAGCCTACAGGTTCCTCTGTTCCTCAGGTTCCTCTGTTTAATTGTTTATTCGTGACAGACGGTGAAACACGTGTGTGCGTGTCTGTGTGCGTGTCCATGTGTGCTCAGTAACCAGAAAACAATTTGTGAGCGTGCAGTCGACACAGTAACGTCCCTCCAGAACCAGTTCAATCAGGGACGAGTGTTCTCCACGTGGGCACATATGCAGTTTAACCACCATATATAGTCTCTCTCTCTCTATATATTTAACAATATATGCACTGTATATATGCAACATACAGGAAGTGGTCCGGGTAAGTTAAGTACAGGTCTGACACATCCCGCCAAAATAAAAGGCATGTCATGGCCAATAAATGAGGCGAGACGTATCCGCATTGTCTCCTCTAATCTCCCCGTCTTTGTGCGTCCCTGTAACACGAGAGCGTCAGTGCTTCTCCCACGTTCCACGGATCCGAGGGGACTTTAGAGGAGTCCACGTCTGCTTTTGTTCCTGGTGGTTTTGAAACACGAGGGAGAGAAATACAGTCGGTCTGAGAGCATTAACTTCTACTCAGACACAAAACACCCTGAATATTTTCAACGAAGCTGACAGACATCCGTCATGAGGCCTTCACATGACTCCACCCATCTGAATAGGAAACAAAAGCTTGACTCGGTTTTCACTGATGTCGAAAACACACTCAGCATTTCACAAGTCTAAAGCCACACACATCCCACGTCCCATGACCCTCTGGGTGCAACGTCGAGGACACAACCTGCAGTTCCTTCCTCCGAGGATCTGAAACTGACGATGGAAATAAAACAAAATACCGTCCTGATGGCAACGTGACCTCATAAGTAAAGGAGACTGAAAAGGAGACTAGATATTCAGAATCTACTGGTGCCACTGGGGAGGATTCTGGTGATGCACGTCCACCAGAACCTCCTTTAACTCAGGCTCCAGCAGAGACCAGTCCACCATGGACAGACCCGGATCCTCCAGCAGAGACCAGTCCACCATGGACAGACCCAGATCCTCCGGCAGAGACTAGTCCACCGTGGACAGACCCGGATCCTCCAGCAGAGACTAGTCCACCATGGACAGACCCAGATCCTCCGGCAGAGACTAGTCCACCGTGGACAGACCCGGATCCTCCAGCAGAGACTAGTCCACCATGGACAGACCCGGATCTTCCAGCAGAGACCAGTCCACCATGGACAGACCCAGATCCTCCAGCAGAGACCAGTCCACCATGGACAGACCCGGATCCAACAGCAGAGACCAGTCCACCATGGACAGACCCAGATCCTCCAGTAGAGGCCAGTCCACCATGGTCAGACCCGGATCATACAGCAGAGACCAGTTCACCATGGACAGACCCAGATCCTCCAGCAGGGACCAGTCCACCATGGACAGACCCGGATCCTCAGCAGAGACCAGTCCACCATCGACAGACCCAGATCCTCCAGTAGAGACCAGTCCACCATGGACAGACCTGGATCCTCCAGCAGAGACCAGTCCACCATGTACAGACCCAGATCCTCCAGCAGGGACCAGTCCACTGATGACAGACCCAGATCCTCCAGCTGGGACCAGTCCACCATGGACAGACCCCGATCCTCCAGCAGGGACCAGTCCACCGTGGACAGACCCAGATCCTCCAGCAGAGACCAGTCAATCATGGACAGACCCAGATCCCCCAGCAGAGACCAGTCCACCATGGACAGACCCAGATCCTCCAGCATCAGGGCTCAGCTGATGGTTTCCCATAACAGAGTAATCATCTTTAACATATTCCGTGTAAACCGGTCATGTTAGACGCCGTTGTTCCTCTCTGTCCCCACCTGTGACCTTCAAATGTCCTCCATGACGAAGGAAGGAGACCAGTGAACACCCGAGTGTACATGCACAGCTTCCAAAGCTCGCCAAAGGACCGGCGGGATTGTTTGATTGGAGCGAACAGACGGACACGAGGTCACAGGACCCAAGGACGTCGCTGCCAGGATCTGAGCCGCGGGCCACAGAGCCGCTATTGTTGCTCCGAGAGGAACCTCGAGCGGACAAAAGACAAAGAACCGTAAACGGGCCGAAGTCGTTTCATGTGTGCTTTATTCTGCCATAGATTCACAGCAACGCCTTGTTGATTGTAATAAATAGAAGGAGGCTTGGACCAGAGTGAGAAGAAACTCATTCCAAGGAGAGATTTAGTCACATGGCCGACGTGTTGAAGACACTACAAATGAACGGTCGCTGGTACGATTTCAAGCTGGAACCCAAAAGCACGACTCAGACACCGATGAAAGGGACAGGTAGCTTTACTCAAGGTTCAGGCAAGGTCAAAACCGGGCGAGGACAGGCGGGGAATCCGTAGACGAGGACAGGCAGGAATCCGTAGACGAGGACAGGCAGGAATCCGTAGACGAGGACAGGCAGGAATCCGTAGACGAGGACAGGCAGGAATCCGTAGACGAGGACAGACAGGAATCCGTAGACGAGGACAGGCGGGGAATCCGTAGACGAGGACAGGCGGGGAATCCGTAGACGAGGACAGACAGGAATCCGTAGACGAGGACAGGCGGGGAATCCGTAGACGAGGACAGGCGGGGAATCCGTAGACGAGGACAGGCAGGAATCCGTAGACGAGGACAGGCAGGAATCCGTAGACGAGGACAGGCAGGAATCCGTAGACGAGGACAGGCAGGAATCCGTAGACGAGGACAGGCGGGGAATCCGTAGACGAGGACAGACAGGAATCCGTAGACGAGGACAGGCGGGGAATCCGTAGACGAGGACAGGCGGGGAATCCGTAGACAAGGACAGGCAGGAATCCGTAGACGAGGACAGGCAGGAATCCGTAGACGAGGACAGGCGGGGAATCCGTAGACGAGGACAGGCAGGGAATCCGTAGACGAGGACAGGCAGGGAATTCCGTAGACGAGGACAGGCAGGGAATTCGTAGACGAGGACAGGCAGGAAATCCGTAGACGAGGACAGGCAGGGAATTCGTAGACGAGGACAGGCAGGAAATCCGTAGAGGAGGACAGACAGGGAATCCGTAGACGAGGACAGCACGGGAATTCGTAGACGAGGACAGGCAGGGAATCTCGTAGACGAGGACAGGCAGGGAATTCGTAGACGAGGACAGGCGGGATATCCGTAGAGCGAGGACAGGGGAGGAAAGGTTGTGCATCTTACACACTTATGTGTGTGTGTGTGTGTGTGTGTGTGTGTGTGAGTGTGTGTGAGAGTGTGTGTACAGATTCCTAACCCAGAAGAACAAAGTGTTCTCAGGAATTTCCCGTCCATTAAAGCAGCTTGTTGTTGTTCAGAAGACCTCGATTCTCTGTGGACGCTCCGCCTTCACTTTCTTTTCCTTGCGGAAGTTATGATATAGATGAAGACAAATAATCATATGAATGAGATTTTCTGAAAACAGCAGCTGATATGAATCTAGCGTAGTCAAGAGGACACCAATATGTCATTAAATGTAACGTGATTTTATAGCTTAAAAACAAACCACTACAATAAATCAATTAGGAAAAGAGATAAATGAAAGAATTCATTCATGATAATGAGTTCAGTTTCAATAATATTCAAAAGTTCTTAGTCATAAAATACGTAATGTATTAAACTATTTGATATTGAGCTATTTGCAGTCCATACAGATTGTTTAAAGATGTAAAAACAAACTGTATTTGACCAGCAGACGTAGTGTTTTTTTGCGTGGGGAAATATTTGAGGTCAGGGCTCCGATTAACAGGAAACGTGTTGGCAACTTAACATAGCTCCGTTTGATGGGTTTCATTTCTCTGAAAACGTCTGTTTCCTCATCAAAGACGTCCCGCCGGCGTTGTCCCCGCTGCTTCACAAATAATACGGGTGACATCTGCAGATGCAAATACAACAAGTTGCTTGGGTTTGTCATTTCTCACATTGTTGTCTCGTGTTGTCACAACAACCGTTTTATTTTGCAAACAAAGGGTCTCACGAGGGCTGAGCATCGGGTGGTACGTCGTGCCGGATGAAGGCGCTGCTCGTATTTTTAATGTTTTATTACCATTGTTCTCAGCATAGATTGTGTTTTATATACGTTACAGTTTGCATTTTGAAGTGGATTTGTTTGTTGTTTGACGAGCTGATAAGGAGTGTGTCTGTGTGTGTTGCAACTGTGACAACCGTTCAACTGGACTATAAAATATCACAACGCGTGCGGTTTAGTGTCACAGCTTGTTCTGCTTCTTGTTTCTGAACACGCATCTTACTGGCTGTGTGTGTGTGTTTGTGTGTGTGTGTGTCACACTCTTTGTGTCAACTCTTGGCTCATCCACACCAGGAGGATGTAGTCTCACACACACACCGTCGCTCTCATGAAATATCCAGAAGAACTGCAGCTTGACCCCGAGAACCAAAGCAGCTCCTCGCGTTTCTTTCACCTCAAGTTTCTTTGTATCGCAGCATTTACTCCAAACAGCGTCATTTGCGTCCAGCTGGGACAGCGAGTAAAGGCTTATTCGGGGCAATGCTGCGTCTTCACAATGTCAAACCTGAGTCCTGTCAACATGTGTCCACGGCGATGTGAGAAGACCCACACATCTGGGTTACATGGTGTGTCCAGATTCCATACGGGGAGCAATCGTTGAATTACAGTCCTTGTGGTTAGGAGGCCGGGCCGGTCTACGACTGGAGAAACCCTGCCCCGAAGATCTACCCGGTTGAGGTTGAGCATTGACAAGGAATGGAATGAATACGTCAGATGGTCCCTTACGACAGGCTGGGATCAAGTGGAATAGTTGGGGTTAGGGTTAGTTAGTTCACTTCAATCGCCACGTTTATGCACCTTGGTTGCCGCTTTTTGCACTGCTTTGTCTATTTTAGCTTTACTTGCACAGAGATCTAGGGGACATTTTTTAAGTCGGACATACCTGTTTTGGAGTAAGAGACACCGTAACCTCCTCTCAGACACGGGGAGTGTGCGTGTGCACCGCCCGGCAGCATGTGAAGTATTATTTATGAGCACCGGCTCGGGGGCCATTGTCTCCATGGGCGGACCAGCTGTGGGCCTGCTATACATGAAGGGATGTAGAGCCTCTCCACCCCCTTTTGTCTGGGCCTGCTCGGGTCATTGAGAGGCAGGACCACAGCCTTGGGACGGGACCCCCTGCTGTGCAGAGACACCACACCCGTCACTCACACACACACAAACACAAAAACACACACACCTCAAACCGCCATCTGGGGGCCTCTTGTTTGGACCCTTTTAGTTCTGCTGTTAAAGTGCGAGGTAAAAAAAAATAAAAGGTATAAAAACAGGTATAAAGTGCGTCGGCATATTAATGCGATCTGGACGACCACATTAAAGGCAAAATTAAGCTCAACCAGAACTCCTCGCATAACCGGTAAACGATGACAAGGAGCCAACAGCTGCCGCCCTCTCAATACAACTCTATCTTTTGTTTCTTTGACGGATGGTTTTTAATTCTGGATGAAATAAATAAACAGTGCGTCTGATGTCTATTTGCAGACGTATGTGTTTGCTGATGATATTCAGGGGCCAGGTCGCTGTTATGGCAAATATTCTGAGTCCGTCCCCCCGTAACGCGGTATCGTTTATGTTCTCATCTAACTTGTGGCAAAGTAGACAGGTTTTCAAAAATGTTTTTCAAAAAACTGAATTGATTTCGGTTCCGTTTACTCAGGAAAATTAAACCGCAAAAAGGATCTTTTAAAGTTGATCGGACTGTTGCAGTAGAATGAGAGCTTTTCTAAAGGGACCCTGGGGCTCACAAACAGGTGTCATTTTTCTTTCTACTGATTAACATTTATTCGATGCTTCAAGTTGATCATTCAGAATATAATCCACAAAATAACTACGATGTATTATTATAGGTTCGATAGTACACAAGCAATTCAAATGAGCTTTACCGTTACCAGCTGCAACATTAAAGTGGTGTATTATACACCAATAATCATACAGCAATAAAAACAAATACAATATACATTATGCTGAAATGGGCCACCTGATGCTTCTACTTTTACCGGAGTTAAAACTTTGAGTGTTTTAACATTGTTTTGCATTGCTACTTTTACATAAAAGGACACTTTCAATGGGTGACTTTGATATTGTTGTTTCAGGAGAAAAACACAAAGTAAAGTGAGGCCAGAGCGACTAGTGGGGAAAAGGGTTGAATTAGACCGCGTTTGTATTTTTTACATGAGGCTGCTCTTCATGTACAGTTCATGTGTGCGTCTGTGTGCGCGTGTGCGTCTGTCTGTCCGTGTGTGTGTGTGTGTGTGTGTGTGTGTGTGTGTGTGTGTGTGTGTGTGTGTGTGCGGGGGGGGGGGGAGGGGGGCACTGTAAGGAGCGACAGAGAGGAAACTCCGCCCACGCGCCGTGACGTCACCGCGGTGTAGCCGTTGAAAGAAGAAGACGCTCCTCTTGAGACGCGAGTGTTCCGTTGGCGGCGGGGTGCGAACACGGGAGTCTCCCACCGGCCAAGCGGGAGAGAAACGAGACCCCCTTTTTTTGTTCGGTTCAGCAGCCGGGAAGAAGTCGCATGGATTTACTGAACACTTCCGCCATTTTTCGGGCGACGCAGGACGCTTAGAAAACAAGTGAGTTTAACCCGCACGGAGTTTTCTGTGAGCGGTTCACCGGAGAGACTGACGTTGGTATCGGAAGCCACATCAACCCGCCCTCATAAGTTAGACTAGCCCGCTACGCTAAGCTTACTACGTAGTCACCTTCGGTTAGCTTAGTTATTAACGCTGCGTAAAGTCACTTCATGTTCGCTTAGTTATTACGTAAAGTCACTAAGAGTTACTGCGTAGAATGAGTTGGAACATAAAGTTCGTTAACGTTGTCTCACCCCCCCCGGAGGTCTGCTCGCTGGCCCGTAACGTTCGCTTACCTGTCTCACCCGCGTCAACTGTCTCACCTCCCTTACGCTTCTTACGTCGGAGTGAAAACCCAGAAAGGAACAAAAAGACGACACGTGACCGTGACGTTGGTCGTAGTTCGATAACGTGGTTATTGATTTTCCGTTTAAAGCCGTTGATCAAAGCCAAACATGATTTGTTGTTTAATCAATTGAATACGACTGTTTTAGTTTTGAGTCGCGGGGCTTTTGGACCTTTTGTCAGTCATTTGTTCAATCATTTTATAACGAAGCACAGCTCAGTTTGTGGTATGAATGAATAAATCACCAGCACATGAGACAACAATGACGCCAACTATCAGTGTAAACCAAGTTTGCTGCTGTAAGAATTCCTAAAAGTAGAAAATAGTAACATTGTGTGATTCTTATGATAATATGATATTTGATAATGATAATAATATAATATTTTTTTGTTTTTTGTTCTATACCATTATGGGAATTCAGCACTGGACCTGATACAATCTTATATGGTTCACGAAACCGTGACTTCAACACAAGCAAATAATATATATTTGAGATGGAAAAACGGGGCCATCTCAACTCAATATTTGACAGAGATTGCAGATTACTTTGTCAATGAAGCTTTTGTCTGCCAGTAGGCTCTTTTATTTGCGTTAACCTTCATTTCCCCCCCCTCTTCCTCTGCCCATCCGTCTCGCTCTATTGCCATAAATGCTCTCAAGATTAAAAAAAAATGAATCACATGAACAATATTTTCCAGAGTTTTCTGCACAGATCTTTGTGTGTGTCAGCAGTGTTTAGTCCTGCTATATTTAGACAGAAACGCCCACTTTGGACGAGTATCCTCCACCCAGCCGAGGCCAAATTGAACTATTTCGATAGATTTTTTTTTTTTTTTTAAGGAAAGACGACATTCTGGAACAAAATAAGTGGCTTGTTTTGCCCAGTTTTTGCATCACTAATCACATGACCGGAGATGTATTATGCTGGATTCATATGACGTTGCAACAAATGTGTTCCTTTGTTCATGAGTTGATCTGCTTGTCTCACAACTAGTTGTACAAATTGGTCGTCTGTCTGTTGCATCAGATGAAGTAACCCGGTTTTCGTGGTTCTCTGGTGCCATTGAGAGCTGCTATTGTTGCGATCGAGGTTTTGGATTTCTTTTTTACGTTACAGCACAGGAAACTGCCGTGTGGATGTAACACACGAGGTGCGGCCTCAGAGTCTCTTGGGGCGTCTCACACAGCCAGCACGGCATAAATAGCCAATATTTTCCCCACACTGCGAGTGCTTTCTTTTCAATATTTGGTCCTACAGCTCGAGCTCCAGTTTCTTTCTCAAGGACACTTTGACCGTCGCAGGATGTGCCTCCACCTGTTGACCTAATGGACGTTTTCTCCGCCCGCTGTTGTGTATTCGTTCTGCTTCCTGCGTGACACCAAAATAAACCATTACTATTTCTGCAAATACTCCACCGCAACCACTGACAAACGTTTCTAGGGATATGGGGGAGAACAATGATGAATAGTGGTGTGGAGTTTCTTCTAAGAAGTAGAAAGAACACAAATGTCAAATGCAGTCGACATTTAAATGAATGAGCTTGACTTTAACGGCAGATTGGCTGCTTTAGTTCTTTGCTAGGGGAAGAGAATTATTATCTAAAGTGTTAAGTTTTGGCTTGCAGGCTGCAGCTGATTGAAATATCTGGTCCTTCCCCTCATTTCAAGGTCAGTCAATTCAGCACGTCCCAAGTGGGAGATCTCGATCTACCCGGCGGTGCTGCTAATTATGGGGACATCCCATCAGGTCTGTACTATAAACCACATTTTTGTCACTCCTGTTGACACAGAAATACGCAATGTCCTTTTGAGAGCGGCCGCCCCCACAATCCCAAATAGCATTTGTTTGCATTGCATCTAACTAGCAACACCTCGGACCACAGAGTGAGTGTTTACCCGAGTCACATCGCATCCAACCTCAAGGTGGCTCACCAAACAAATCTGCAAAGAAAAGAGGCGTTGGGTGTATGCTTATGATTCTGAGCAAAAGCAAGATGATCCGCCACCTGCTAACCGGCTACTCGCTGCAGATATGTTGTTAACTAGCAAATGAACGCTTGCTTCATGGAGATCAATGGTCCAGAGAGAGAGACGCTCTGATGCAGTGCTCTTGGTACTGGTTTCCTTCGCTTAGGTTTCATGAACTATCAATGTCCTGCGTAGACACGACAGATTCACCTGAAATGTTTCTAAAGCTTCTAAAACGTTATGACTCAGTTTGAACATGTGTGGGTAACAGGCAGAATTACAGCGCTACATCTCTTCCTGGAGATGAATCGAGTTGGGTTTCATCTTGACCGATGCACTGTTTGGATTCGCGTTGCTTAATACAGAAGTAGAACTCCCTCGGTTCTCCTTTTTCATGACTAATCCAGTGTTTCCCATTATTATCTTAAATCTAGCAGCCCTCGCCCCCCCCCCCCTTCCGGGACTTAATACCGGCTGCACCCTGCCTCCCTTCAGGGAGGGCAGGATCTTGGCGTGAGGGTTAACCATGGCAGATTGTCTTTAGTGCAAGGGCCTGTTTGGCGATATCTGGAACCAACCTGGCCCGTCTACAAGCGCGCTTTGTGGCCGTGACCCTTTTTGCCACGTTGTCAACATTTGTACAGCCAATGTGTTAATGATCACATGATCAAATTGTTCAGCATAGCTGAAAATGGTACATCCAGCCTGCTATCTGGACTCAAAATGTGCACCGGATGCATTTCTCTAAAATATAGTCCAAACGAGGTGTGTGGGGTGAATATTGTCATTTGTAAGTGCAGAGAGCTTTGTCTGAATAAGGCCTCTCCACAAAGCTTGTTTGGCCTCCGTGTCCGTTCGGTGACCCTGTTTCTCAACCACTGAAGCCCAGTGAAAGTTGGCCTACGCAACACCACAGATCTTTACTCCTCCAGCCAGATATGGATGAACTCTCAGAAGAAGGCAGGGGCTTACAATGCTCCGCCTTGTTTCTTTTTTCTTATCACTAATAATGACTCCAAACTCGAATGTGCAGGTGAGCCACCGATGCTGCCTTTTTTAAGTGCTCGGCTGCCGCTGTTCTGATCCATTAAAACCAGCTTACGAGGGATATACTGCTGCACGGACACGGCTGATCCACAATGTTACAGGCAAATACATCAGTGGGTTTATATTCTTTATAGGCATTAGGAGGTAAGATAGAAACCGACTGTCTGTAATGCACACAGAGTAGGTAGTTGGGGCCCTGCTTGTTTGTAGAAGCTGTATTTGTCATGTCGGTGGTCCGCTACAGCACACTATGCTTCAGACTTCGAACGGTTAAAAGTTTGTGGGAATCGTGGTAAAAGTGCAGTTCTAGGACATTCAGAGCATTGATGTAGCAGGAAACAGACTTTTCGCTGTGTAGAGACGTAGTGGAGTGTTTGCTCTGCGTAGCTGCTTTTAGCGCATGCTAGCAGGCCTACGGGGAGCGACTCGCTCTGCGCTCATCTGGGCAGCTACAGCTGATAACGCCGCCCAGACTGTTGTCAGCAGATTGCCCATCCAGTAAACCGTGTAAGCTTTGTTGTAGCCAGGCCATTTTTCAAGCATTAGTTTTTTCATACACAATGCGAGGCACTCCAGTTGAGCCAGAGGTGCACTTCAGCATCCTGTTGTGAAAGGGGCTCATTGTCCAGGAAGGAGGGTGAAGAGGAGGAGGTGGCGAGGCTTTCGTTTAACCAATCCGTCCGCGACGGTGTGCCTTGTGGATTAGCTACCTGCTGCTAAACGTTAGCCTAGCCATGAGGCTAACCGGCATTGACTCGTGCAGGTGCCTGCGGAGAACAACGCTGGGAATGCAAGGTTCATGCGAGCTGCGTTCCTCCAGCGTTCCCCGCAGGCCCTCCTCACCCGCTAGACGGCATGTAGACAACTAATAGCTTCACGTCCCACTCCGTGATACTGCCTCGGTTTCTCTGGTTATGACGCTGCCTTCCTGTAATAACTAAAGCCATTAGTTGCATTTTGTACCATCTCCCTTGAAGGCAACCACCACCTCCCCCAAAGCTTCAAAGAGGCTTTTTGTCTGTCCACTTAAAGGTGTAAAATATCAGAAATGCAGAGTAAAGAGTTCTCTGCAGCTTTCTTTGTTTCTTTAAGTTACTCTTATACTCCCGAAAAACCAAATAATGTAAGCGGGGAAAAAAACTCGTAGCATCACGCAGCCGACTGTCACCTTGTGGCCTTCGTCAAGGTCCTGATGATTCCGGAGTGTTGGTCGCTCACTGCTGCTCTTTGTGCAGTTACGTAGATTTTGGGGTTTCCCTGTGTGTTACATGGGCGAGAAAGTCTCAATCGGAAAGCAAGCTGTAAAGGGTGATTTGTGACACATCTCTAGTAAATGCATGTTGATGCTTTCCTTTTGTGTGTGTGTGTGTGTGTGTGTGTGTGTGTGTGTGTGTGTGTGTGTGTGTGTGTGTGTGTGTGTGTGTGTGTGTGTGTGGGGGGGGAGCAGAAAAAAAAGTTGATGACGAGCATTGCATCGTTTTTGTCCTGGTATTGTTGTGGGCGAGGACCGTTATCATTTTTATTGTTGGACAATATTTTTTAATATTTTCGGCTTCAGGTTGCTCCATATTTACTGGTTGTGAACGTTAGCAGCTGCTCGATAACACGTTTATCATAGTGGCTGATTATTCTGAGCAGCTGCATTGTGACATTTAAATCCCACATCCTGACGCAAGTTATTTCATGATTAACCACTGTGGATCTCAGAGTCTTCATGGGTGTAACCGTGCTTCAAAAGGCCATTTATTGTAATCCAATGTTTCTTGTGTATCAGTCTGCAGTTAAGAAAATCCTGAGTATGAAGTAGTTTTTGCAGCCTGAGCTATGAACCCGCTGTCTCAGTGAGGGGTCAGGATTCAACTTTGCATGTTTAATGTGGTGCCTTAATAACGTCCACACACACCTTTTTTAAATTTAGCTTAACGTTGAGTGTGGGGGAACGAGAGGTGACCTTTAGCGTGACAAGTGTATACTGATACTGATAATTACAAATGCCTTTCTAATTTAAAGGGCGTTACGATCATTGCAAGTATCTCTTTGTTCCACTCACATTGTCTTGTTAATTTAGTCCCTTGAACAGTATCCATATGCTGCAGTCATCCCTGACCCGCCCGTTATTCAGGATGTTTAACATTCTATCGCCTCGCTGAAGAAGACTGAAAGGACCATACGGGGTTTTAAAATCTCACGTGTGAGACCCGTAGCCCCCTTTTTAGAATACCGTCCCTTTGGTGGGGGGGGGCTTCATATCTCTGTCTATTTCTGGAGCTCTCGATTCGCCCCTCCCCCTCGCGCTGTGAGGCCCACATTCCCCCAACGTGGCGTCCGTCCCTCGGAAATGTCTCGTTGGTTGTTGTAATGTACACAGGTGCAACACGATGGCGGCTGCGAGGAAGTCTCACAGCGCGTGGTGGTGGGCGGTGCTCCACCGAGGGATTGAGGAAGTGCTACGTGAGGTGTCGTAACGCGGGCTGACTGACGCACTCTGTTGCAATGCGAAGCCGGGTCCCGATAAACCACGTGGTCAAAGCGCTTATGTTGAGTTGAACTTTGTCCAGAGAGCCCGTGTTGCCTCAGAGGTGGACACTCTTTATCTGCTCCTGCAGGGGCCGGCAGTGCTGACGGTGTGGAGGAAGACCAGCGTCTTTAGTGTTAAAGGGGTCCTCCTCAACAACTGCTACTCATTTCTGCAGTGAGCTAAAACCAGGCAGCCTCATTTATCAGTCCAGCTCCAGAAAACACGTTTCTTTTTTTGTCTGAACGTCTGGTGAAAACCGAGTCTCTTGACAGCCACGTTGGGAAGATGCTCGCGACGTCGCGTCGCCTTTTAAAACCCAGAAGCGGAGCCAAGAATTGAAGGTGGAAAGTTCCCGAGCAAGTCAAACAAACAAAGACGTTCTTTCCTTTTGTCGCTGATTAACTCTTCTGCTCGCAGCCGCGCCGGCCTGTTTAATCTTTAAGTGGATATCTCACTGACTGTTTGCACGTGGACGCTGCGTGGTGGAGGGGGATTTGTGCTCCTTACCTGCTGACCCCTTCAGTGTGTGTTCGTGCTTAAAATGAACTCTTTAGATGGTAACCTAATGTTTTTCTTGTTTATTTACACACTCCTGCCTTCTAAACAACACAACAAGGTCCCCAAGTCGATAGACTTCTACCCGTGTGGCTTGATAAAGTCTTCTAATGGCAGAGTTGTTGACGTGATGGTGAATTTGTTCAGTGTCTCAGAGTAGGGGAGAGAACTTCCCCAACAGTTGCTGCGTTCTTCTTGTTTTATTTTAGGTACATTTATACAAAGAATCTGTCATCGGTGTTACGATACTTTGACATAGTTTTTGTGTTAGTGGTCAACACGATGTATGTCTCTGTGTCTCCCCCCCTCTCCTTCCATTTCCCCAAACTGTGGACACCCTTTTATCCCCATTGACGCCAAACACCACGTGAGCCCGTTAACGTAAAGACAAGGCGCGTACCAGGCGTCGCCAACGACACCCGCCTCCTACAGGCAGTGAGGGGGGGGCGTCCTGCTTCGCTGTAAGCAGCACTGAACGGTGGTTGAGACCCTCTCAGCCCCCCCGATGAGGTGACGTGAATGCAGAATGTCCTCATGAGAAATGTCTGTAAACCGCTGAGCGTCTCTGAAAACGACTGCTGGTCTCCGTGTGAGTGAGGCGGAACCTTCTGGATCGTGTTCTGGACGTGGGGCCGTTTCCATGTTGTCCGCGTTGCTGCGGTCAGTCGCTGCAGGAACCAGCCTCCGCTCTGGTTCCTGCAGTAATCTTATTTCTTTGGCGTCATGTAAATGGGAAGCCGTGTTTTCTGGGATTGGTATGGGGGGTGTCAGAGAAACCGACTTTCTCCGGACATTCATTCATTCATTGCTGACATTTTGGGACCGTTTACTCATTTATAGAAGATAGATAGAGGTGCTAGAATGAGTCCAAAAAACCTGGGACTAAGTCGGCACGTTTAAACTTCCTGTTTTTATGTGTTTCATGTGTCTCTTCAATGAGATTTAAAGTTGGGTTCTACCATATAAAGTGAATCAGTAAATATCCCTCTGATTCATTTAGAATCATTAAAGTGCCTAAACGTCCTCTGTGGAAGAGATGGAGACGTGAGATGTGACCGTTCACTTTTTACTTCAGCCGGTTTTCATATTCCTGCTGAACAAAATGTTCAGAGATAAACTGTTCCACCTCCTCCTCATTGACATTTGTCTCCGCTGACCTGCCCGTCCTGTTCTTCAGGGTTTTTTCTTAAGGGTTTCTGGGAGTTTCCCAACTTGTTGCTATTCATTTGCTTGTAATTTTCCCCTGAGCCAAGTTCTCTGTTGTTTGTTGTGTTTTTAGGTTTTGGCGTTCCCCTCTCTGATCCTCTTTCCCCGTTGGCTGCTGTTCCCCACAGGGCAGAGCTGTATGGGGGTAAGACGGCTGAGAGGACACACCGGGGGACACGAGGCTGAGGGTACTGGTCTGTTTTGGAACAAAAAGGTAAGCCTTAACTTCACTTCATCCTGAATAAGTCTGCATTTTGAGTGTAGCAGAGTTTCACCAACCATCCAACTGGCCAAAGATCTCTTACAGGAGGAAGAGTGCTGATACCATAACTTAAAAAAACATAAATATAAAAACTTCTACTTTCAAAGCAGGACTTTTCAGTATGAGTTGGAGGAATTGTAACCGACTTACAGAAAGGAGCTTTCACTCCTGCATGAGGAGCTTCATTTAAAAAGCACTAATCCACCTGCGTTCCTGATTGAATCCATTACAGCAGAATGGTTTAGTGTCTGGAAGGAAGCCGCCTGTGATGGAGAGTGTTGTGTTGAACAGTCGGCTCCATGGTGAAAGACGCTCAGACAGCGGGGACGCTGGACGGCGGGGGGGGGGTGGATATCTGTATGGACCCGTTCAGCCGCAGGAGATCTGATCTGTGAACAGCACAACGTGTATCCCCTATCATTTGTAACCGTACCCCAAATCGCATCAGAGTAAGCCGAGACAAACGCCGGGCCGTCAGCTTGTTGTCCTGTTTCCTGATGTTCCTATAGCCGCTCTGACACATGGTTAATGGCCGACCCGGAAAGTCAATTAGTCTGTTGACCTGGAACTCTGCCAGCCGAGCCGTCTTTATTACCGCGTGGCAGATAAATGAGGGACTTTGTCTTCCTCTAGTCAATCGAATCATAAACATGTTAATAGTATTATGCTATTTAACATGCACGGTCATGATGCCGTGCTTCCTGGCAAACTGCTTTCTGCCTCGCACGTCTTTCTTCAGGGTGAACCCGGCATCAACATCCTCGTGCACCAGTTTGTTTTTTGCAAAGTTGCCCTGACGACGACGACTACGAGCCGCAGCAGCACAACGGTACCAAAATATCTCATGTAGCGTGACGTAGAGTTTGAAAATTGGAGGAAAAAAAGCCTTTGAGTTAGTGGCCACTCAGCCGTTAACCCGCTCTGGTCTGTGGCCTCACTGAGTCACGACTCCTCTGTCCAACTGTCCAACAACCCGAGGCTGCAGACATTGTAACGTGCGCGTGTGTGTTTGTTTTGCTGGTTAGTTACACCTCAGGAAGTCTCCTCCCACTCATTTCCCAGAAGTCTTTGTTTGGGGATGCAGGAGGGCAGGAGGGGGGGGTCTGAAGATAAATGGCCTGGGCTTGTCTTTTGTTTGTAATCTAACACTGATCCACCTGCAGGATTATGTATCTTCGTTCTGTGGAGATGTGCCAAAGGAAAGGGGGGATAAACAAAGGATAGGGAGGAGGAAGGCGGCAAAGCGGGGCAGCGGCGCAGGCTGGTTGCTAGGAGCGAGCAGCAGGAAGGGCGCAGTGCAGAGAGACGAGTCGCTCATCCATTCTAACTAGCAAAGTGTCGTTCGTATTCACAACGGGTATCGAGGAGCATCTTCAGCCTGTCCTGCTGCATCTGCTTTACGTCTGTATCCTGATGAAGCAATGATGAGAGGAGCATCCCGGGGAGCCGCCCGTAGGCTCCGGTTTCATCCTCGAGTATGATGATGTGTTAATTGTTTCATCATATGTGATTTTTTTATAATGATGATATTGAACAACATGTTACCTACACAAAAATAAGTAAATGAACTAAAGGCCAAGTTTGTTAATTGAAGTTGTACCGACATTGAACACTGAGCGAGCTGTGCTGTAAACATGGAACTTTATTTGGCATGAAACGAAAAATAATAGTGCATGAAGCTGTTTTATTCATGCAATAAATAGTCAGTAGTGAGGCGCGCGCCCACCCGCAAAGCGGACCGCTGCGCCGCCGTTTTTTCTTTTTTACATTCGAATATTAATTTTCACATTCAAATAGTTGTTTTTAACAACCATTCGCATGTATATTTGAATATAGAATATTCGTTAGTGCACACGGTGCCTTTATTATACCCAGTCATCATTGTGCACACTTGGAAGTCTTCCTGCTTGCTGTTAGAGAAACCTGAGGCCTCAGACCTGCTGAAAAGCCGTATTGTTTGCTCTGGCCCTCACATGTTGTCTGACCCCCCCCCCCCCCCCCCCATTCGAAGGTAGGGCAAACACTGTTGAAACTCTAAATGAGGAGATTAGTTTTAATCCATAGAATTACATTGATCATATGATGTCAGGCAAACCCTCCTAAGAGCGATTATTGTGAGTTATTGCTTCATTGTATTTGGTTAGTTCATTCTCTATGATTGCTAAACTAGTCTGTGGCTTGTTGGGCAGCAGAGTTTGCATAATAATCTTCTGTCTTAACCCTCATTGTTCTGACCGGCTGTGTAACGTTTTCTTTAGTGCAGCAATAGTTAATAAATACAAGAAGATCTACCCGTCTGATTAAAATCCCTAAATCCCCGCAGGGCAGCGCCACCGTCTGAGGTGCTCTTTAAACCCCGCCTCTCGTATTTTCCAGATATTATTATTATTATTATTATTATTATTATAGTTGTGAATATTATTGGATGTTTTCCCTCCCGACGTTTTGAAAGGCTTCTTGTGACTTTGTGGTGGAAGGAAACGCTTCCATCGCTGCGCCGTGACGATCGTGCTTCCTGAAAGCACAAGATCATTAAACTGAAATAAATAGATTTTTCCATCAGTCATTTCCGTGAAGAGTGACTCTGCTTTGAGAAGAGCGGATTGTTGCATGAGCCCGGCTTTACACTTGTAACAGGGAGTGTGTGTGTATAATCACATTTCCATCAATAGAAGTGTGTTTTTATGCAAATAATCCCTGTGCAGAAGCCGAAGGGTCTGAAGGTCTGTGCTCTGAATCGTCCGAAGAAGACGTCTCAATATACACGACATCATTTATCTATATATATATATATATATATATATATATATATATATATATTTATATTTATGAATCGTAATAAATAATCATTTAATTTGATCAGTGACTCAACACACTGCCTGTGATGTGTTCTGACTTTACAGGAAGTGGTATTTCTCTTAATATAATCATTGTGTATTGAGCCTTGTATTGTGTGTGTGCGCTCAGGTGGTGACGGCTGCAGCACCCTGTCATGGCGCGGCGGAGACTGAAGCTGGTGACGGTGATCATGATGGTCAACTTCTTCATCTTCATCATCATCTCCCGCCACAGCAGCCAGGACAAGAACGGCCGTCACAAGGTCCACATCCCCCCCAAACCCTTCTGGTCCGAGCTGGTTCCCAGTCCGGCCTACTGCAACCGCCAGCAGCAGATTCTGGACTTCCACAACAATCCCGTCCTGGCGGCTAACTACAGCGCCGCGGACGTGCCCGATTGGCTCAACGAGACCGGTGTGACCTCCTCCCCCTGCCGGCCTAACGACAAGGTGACCACTCAGGTGAAGGACTACAACTCCCTGCCGGTCCGCTTCAAGGACTTCCTGAGCTTCATGCACTGCCGGTCGTACCCGATCATGGTGGACCAGCCCGAGGTCTGCAAGGACCCGCCGTTCCTCCTCCTGGCCGTCAAGTCCCTGGCGCCGCATTTCGAGCGCCGCCAGGCCATCCGCCAGTCCTGGGGACGGGCCGGGGTCGTAGCCAATAAGACGGTGGTCACCGTCTTCCTCCTCGGCAACACCATGGCCGGCGACCACCACCCGGATCTGTCCGGGATGCTGCAGTACGAGGGCCTCCACCACAAAGACATCATCCAGTGGGATTACCGGGACTCCTTCTTCAACCTGACCGTCAAGGAGGTCCTGTTCCTGGAGTGGATCCAGAACCGCTGCCCCGGAGCGCGCTTCGTCTTCAAGGGCGACGACGACGTCTTCGTCAACACCTTCCGCATCCTGGACTTCCTCGGGGGCCTCTCGGAGCCCAAAGCCAGGGACCTGTTTGTGGGCGACGCCATCACCAACGCTGGGCCGCACCGGGACAAGAAGGTGAAGTACTTCATTCCGGAGAGCATGTACGTCGGGCCGTACCCTCCGTACGCGGGCGGGGGCGGCTACCTTTACTCTGGGGACATCGCCGCTCGCCTTCACAACGTGTCGCGCCACGTGGCGCTCTACCCGATAGACGACGTCTACACGGGGATGTGTCTCAGGAAGCTGGGGCTGGCCCCCGAGAAGCACAAGGGCTTCAGGACCTTCAACATAGAGGAGAAGTACAGGTCCAACCCCTGCGCCTACAAGAGCCTGATGCTCGTTCACCCGCGGACGCCGCAGGAGATGATCCAGATCTGGGCGTGGCTTAGCAGCCCCGGTCTGAAGTGCCAGTGACGCCTCCGCAGGGGGCCGTCACTCGAGAGCCGGCAGCTTTTTGTGTCGGTCACGTGGAGCCACGGCTCGGAGGCCATCGCGCCGTACCTTTAAGAAGACGGACGTCACAGTATTTCTGACTCCATGTCAGACCTCCGCAGACGAGCCGACCACCGCTTCGCTACGTGTCCTCTTGCACATATTTATACCACAACTATTTATGGCCTTCGTAATGGTGTGTGTGTGTGCGTGTGTGTGTGTGTGTGTGTGTGTCACACAATGCTGTATTGTAGACTAGAGAGACCTGGGATTTGTCCACCAGAGAGTCTCTGCGTTCAGCTCAGGTGAAACAGACCCCGGGTCAGCTGATTGAAACGTTTCAGGGCCTCGCTCACATCAGACACAGCGGCCGTAATCAAAGGAGCCTTTTCTTCTCTAAACAACCTTCGTACTTGTTGAGCTCTCAAACATCCAGTCAAACTACAGACGCAGAAACAACGTCTGAAATTCACGATGTGTTGATTCTCCAAACGTAACTTTTCCAATACTTTCTTCCTGAATGGAGCTCCGGTCAATCGGTGCTAAGCTCTGCCAGCCGATTGTTTTTGTTTTTGTATTAGCGTCCTCTTTTTGTAATTTTATTTTGTTTTGTAATTTACTCACACACAGAATCTGTGTCATTTTACGGCGCAGCTGTTGCCAGATGTGGCGTTTTGCCGCCGTGGGAGGAGCTTCCCGGTGAGCACGTCCTGGTTGACGTGTGGCCGGAGGCTCGGTCTGTGCTGCTGTTCCGTCCACACTCCCTGAAGTATTCACTCAAACCCAACCTGTCGGCCTGCCCGACCTTTGACCCCGCTCCCCTTCGGCCGGTCCAGGCGGAGCGAAGGCGGATTGAGTCTCTGCAGCTCAGCCGGTCTGAGCCCCGTTCCCCCCGGGAGAAATCCCAATGCTGTCCCACTGCGTTTCAGGGTCCTGTGAAGCGCAAGTGTGCTTTCAGAGATATTTCTACACGTGTGTGTGTGTGTGTGTGTGTGTGTTGATGCGTGTGTTGATGCTGCCTTCATGTCAGTGAATCAAACCGGTCGAACTTTACGTTACCGGAGTTCTTCTGCTGGATGTTCATCTGACTTCATTCCAAAATGTTACGAGGACTTTGTTCTTCACCGGCTTTCAGCTTTAAAGTGTCCGTATTGTGTCACAGCCGTTTGGCTTTTAGTCCTTTTTACTGACTTTGTGAGAATCGCTGCTCGTATTATTTACTCTGCATTCAGCGTGTGAGACGCACCTTGAGCTTTTTTCGTCGTCTTGTTATGTCGATGGAGACAGTGTTTGTTCCCTTTAGAAAAAGTGTGTGTTTGTGTGTGTGTGTGCGTGCGCCTGCCTGTGTTGGAGCGCCCCCTGCTGGTCGGAATGAGGCTCTTTAGCCTTACCTTTAAACTCTCAACCGCCCGGTTCTGTTACTGTAAAGTAACAATGCCTTTTTGTTTTGGTGGTTATTTTTGATGTCAGATTTTATTTTTCACAAGAAATCAGAAAGTTAGACAATCACAACAAGGTCAAGAAGTCTTTTTTTGTTTTTTCGGGCTACCTGTGAATCGAACACTAAGGCGTAATCCTCCTCCTCGTACCAACGAGCGCTCGCTCTCGTTCATGCTGCATCACTTGAATTATGTTTACATGCTTTTAAAAATACCTGTTCATGTATAAGCATCTGATTGGCTGTGGCTGCATTTTCTTTTTCTGCCGTTTTCGGTTCGCTCTCCTCATGTTGGCCTTTGCAGACTCATCACTCACTTTATTGCTTCACGTGCTTCCATGTTATCGTGCCTTGTTCACACCTTGTTTTCTGATGTTTTCAGAGGTGGATCAGGAAACGGGTATTCGTAATGATACAGGAGAAAACAAATCATCACGTTCACAAGGCTTTAACTCATATTTACAAGTGTTATAGAACACTTTAGGTTATTTAGAAATGTTATAAGTCTCACCTGCACTATTCAGTCGATTCCCAAACGTGTGCCTGATGTCGTCTTAGTGCGCTTTTAAGACTTGATAAGTTATATTTTGCTGTATTTTGTATGTATCCTGTTCTATGCATTTTTATTGGAATGAAAATAAATAATGTGAAGTAAACCTTTTAGTTGACTTGTTTAATGTTTTTGTCAAATGTAAAATTCGAAATTATTGATGTAATTCTTAAAAAACATTTAAAAAACTTCCCCCCCCAAAACTAAACACAGCATTCAAAGCCTCCTTCCCATAAAACATTTTATTACAGCTTTTACATTATTCGGGATTGTTTTCTTTTTTTTTAGACACTTTAATTGTATCAAGTCTTCAGAATAAAAGTGAGAGACACACTTTTGTTCTCCATTGAACCCGTTGGTCGAGTCGAAGTAAAACCAGAGACTATTCTGTCCTGATGTGTGAGGGGTAGTGGCGGCCTCGGGGCAGCAGGGGGCAGCAGGGCATAAACTCTGCCCCCCCCCCCCCCCCCCACAAAGTTTAATAAATCTCTGACATAAAGTAGCTGCAGAGTGACTTCATCCACTTTTCGACCCCAGGGGACTCTTATTTTGAAAGGGAGGCTGTCAGAGCAGCGTGGGAAGATCGGTGCCTTGCTCAGGGTCACGTCGGCACGGCTTCAACCAGACACCTCTAGCAAGACCATGCTGTTCACCAGCTTAGCTTATTAAATTATACATAATTATTTATATGAGAATTTAACGAGAAAACTAGTGAGAAACACACGTAAATGAGAAATACGTCACGAGCAGCGAACTTCACCGGAGACTGATGGTAAGAACATTAAAAGCAACATTTAAAAGCACAAATGTGTATTTGTTTCATTTGTCACGTCAAGAATAACCGTAAAAATGCACAATATGAACAACAAAGAAAATGGAATATTAAATTAAAGACGTTTCTTCCAATATACTTTTAAAATATATTTTAATACATATTAAATATTCTTCATGTCATTGAGTCAAGGAGCCATTTGAGTTGAGCTTTCTCTCTTCTGTTTCTTAAATGAAGTAAATGTAAATAAATTAATATTTACAAAATGAATATTCTCTTTTTATAGTGGTCGTTGCAGGAAACAAACTTCTCATGGCTTTTTACTTTAAAACAATAGAAAGGTTTGAACTATTTCGCTCTCACACGTGCCGCCCTGCTCGTCCTCTTTAGATGAAGAAGTGTGGACGCTTTCATGCTCGATTAATTATCTTAATATTCTTGCAGATTTAAGGTTTGCTTTAAGGTTTGACATTTGCTTAAATGCGCTTGAGAGACGTCTTCTAACAGAGTCTCAAACCAAAGATGGTGGAAATAGCGTCTTTCTCGGTTTGTTCTGGCGGAGGAAACGGTGAGCGAGGAGAACGTGACTCACTCCTCTGATCCAAATCTCCTCTGTCCATTTTAAATCGGCTCTCCAGGACGGTCTGTTTGGTACAGAGGCTTTTTGTCTCTTTAGTCCTTTTGAGTCTCGTTATCTACCAGTTGTATATAAATGTCATTAACACGAGAGTTTATAAAACAAAATTCCACCCTGATCCACAGAAAATGCCTTTTTCAGTAACATTGACTCTGCGTGAATGTCGTCACGACGAAAAGTAAAATAATCCACGTTTACTCGATGAGTGAAGGCCGTCAATCATTCACACGCCAACACCGAGGCCACTTTGTCTAAATGTAGCTTCAATAGTTTTAAATCAACTCACCGCCTGTTACTAAACGGAACCACTGTGGTTGAGTTACCCAGAAGGCCTCTGTGTTGGCTGAACTTAAAGTGCGCCGCCCGCCGCTCTCAGGAACACGAGGGCGGGTTGGTGAAGCGGCGGCCCGCGTCGTGCCGCCTTAACGCCGTTCGTCTCGACGTAGAACTTATTCGCCATAAACATCACAATCTCTGTTCACTCATAACATCTGTCTCCTTTGTTCTGATGAATCCAGATGTGACCCAAAGTCAGCCAGCGTCTGGTTTGAATTGACCCGCAGTTCGGTTTCCCCAGTTTATCCTCTTATCACATTTGAGCCACTCTTTAATTCCTCATGTGCGAGTTAGAATTTCTGCGGCCGAAACGTTTCAAAACAAGACCAAAATCCGACCTTTGACCTCCGACCCGCAGCGGAGGGAAGCGTCCCCCTCCAGAGAGCAGCAACGCGGAGCAGATGATCTCTGCTCGCGTCAACAACAACAACGACGGAGGTTTTAAAGTTCCGCTCTGCTGCTGTAAGAGAAGAGCTGGTTCACGGGCCGAGGAAGCAACATGTGGACTCATGATCCAGCTGCTGATTCGTGGAGGAGGAGGAGGAGACCTCTGATCCTGGATCAGTCCATGTTATTGCACCTGGACCCAATGATCTGCAGCACATGGAGATCAACTCTTCATCCTCCATTCTCCTTCTGCTTTCCCTTCAGACCCCGTCGGAGGCGGTTTAAGGGCTGGATATCGTTTTTCTGGGTCGAGTGTCATGACTCCACACTCTCCCGTTGTTTATGCTTTTCATTTAGCTTCTCATTTCCTCACTAAAAAGCTGGTTGGGCTCACCAGTCCTTTCGTCCCCTCCTTCTTTCTCCTTTCTAAAGGTCCTCTTCTTTTCGTTGTGCGAACACTGCTCAGTCTCCACCCTCTTAACTCAATATGTTTGGACAGACAAAGAGGGGAAACATCGCTTGATAATAAACTCCAGAACAAATGAATTACCCCTGAAGGGAGAGAGGGAGGAGAAACTTGTCCGACTTTTTGCCGACCGTGCATAACGGAGTGTTTCAGAGAAGTTTGTTAATTAGCAATCGTCAGTGTCACTGCTGAGTCATCACTTCATCGTCACACAACAATGTTCACATGTAGATGCAGAAGATCAAGATCCAGTTTTGATCTTCTGACTGGCAGATGAATCAAGATGTTTAAACACTTGTTTAACCCTCTCAAACCAAAGTGCAGACTTCATAGAGCATTGACATGTAAACGTGTACGGTAACCGTTCTAACGCCATCATGTTTAGGTGGAAAGTGTCAGTGAGAGGCGACATTCACAAGAGGAACGGGAATAAGAAGCCGAGGAACAGAAGATGTCGCCTCACATCTTTGTGTCTTGGATTTGTCTCGTAGTTTGCAGCTCAAACTCGATTTGTTTCCCCCTTCAGGAGAAAGATGTCGCTCAGCGGCGGCCTCCTGCCGCCCGGAACGTAAGCGCAGCAGCTGACGAGGAGCAGACGGAGAGCTGGGAGGAAAAGCCACTCTCACTTTGGAGTCTCAACATTCAGCTCGGTTCAACGGGAGAAAAGGGAGTCATCCACATGTGTGTCGCTCACTTTAGCAAAGACTCAGTTTGACCTCCAGCTGCACTCGACCTCTGCTGACCCCTCTGAGTCAGAGCGAAGGGTTTGAATCTCAATTTGAATTTGTAAGAGGGTGCTCACATTAATACAGCGGACTCACAGGCTGTCACAGTGTCGAGTGCTCTGTCATGTTCCGCTTTAAGGCGAGTCGACCTGACGTGACACGCAGGAGCCCGTTCAGCCCAGTGAAGGAAAAGCTCCACGTGTTACCGCTGCATCCTGTGTAGTGACCAGCAGGGGGCGACTCCTCCGGTCCCATAGAAGTCGATGAGGAAATGACGCTACTCCTCTCTTGATCTATTACGTATTAGTTTATGGTCTCTATTCTCTTCAGTATAACACGTGTATTTATAAGCAGGTATAGAAAGTTTACTTCAAATTAGCTAATTGGCACCGAACCCAAAGTGCCGCTGCTCAGCATATGTTTGGTTATGCATTCTTATTATTAATATTGGATAATACTGAGGGCAAAAGGTGGAGCCAGTTCATCCTGTAGATGTCAAAGTCAAACTACAGGGGCGGGTCTCAAACAATAAATGTAGACGGCTTGATTCCTCTGACAGACGTTTTCTCACCTGGTGAACTGGAAGAACTGACTTGAGAACATTCTGGATCAGAACAGAACGTCACGTGTGTTATTCACAGTACTGAGGACATACATGTAACGGGTCACCAGAAGGGGCGGGACTTCCATTCTGCGGCTTTTGATCATCGAAGGAGCTCAAAGGCACAGAGGACGACGATTGGCTTCAGAGATACGACAGGATGGACTCCTCTCTCAGGTTTGGTCTCTCCGTGGGACAGCAAGCTGGTTTGATCTTTGTCTCTATGGACTCTTTATCGGGGCTACAGGCTGAGCTCTGTTCGACAGTCTGAAGAAGTCACTAACTGGCACAACAAGTGGACGGTTAAAAGGCTCCAGCTCTGGTTCCTCTGCTGTTGCCACCAAACTGTCGGCTCCCTGTGCTGCACCCAAGTGCTTCAGGCCCACTCGGCCTCGTATCTGAAGGACTCGGCTTTGTTAACGGGTCTCTTCAAGTGGTCTGACACCACAGAGCCCAGACCCCTGGAGGGCCGTCTCATCCTGCACTGGCTGTGGAACTTCTCTGAGATGAATCACAAGTTCAAGCACAATCAATACAAAGCCGGCAGTGATGGATTCAGCTCTCTGAAGACATCAGGACCACAGAGAGCCTTCATATCTTCAGACTAAAGACACACCTCTTCAGACCTCCACTAAAACACTAACTGGAGCACTTACATTGTACTTCGTCACTCATCTATAGCAAGTTGTAAATTGGCTTATTTGAGGAACTTTATTGTTTCTTGTTCTTCTGAGTTTGTGTCATTATGGTGGAAATATTCTTATTGTAAGTCGCTTTGGATAAAAGCGTCGTCTAAATGACATGTGATGTGATGTGATGTAATGATTCAGCCTGTGCGAAGCTTCAATCTGCACACGGCAGCAGAGCGCGGCCTCGTTACACCACTTCACGCCTCCCACACGCATTTACAAGTGAGAAACCAGTGAAAACCGGGGTTGCACCGTCTCAGGAATCTCTTTGCAACGAGTCCCCCTGCTGTCGCAGCATTATAGTTATCACAGCGACTTACAGCTTTTAGTGACGTCAAGAATATCTTCCTCGGATAATTAAGCCATCAAAGCAATGTAAACGTGGAACGAGAATAATCATCATTTGGAAACAGCGAATGATCATTTCATGTTTTAGGGGAATCTGAATGAAAGCTGAACTACTGCCTTTGAGTTGTGACAGTTTGACCCCAAAAGCACTTGATCTGTACTTTATCAATGTCTGCAAAACTGTTTGGGGGCTGCAGATTCTGAGCTTGCGTGTTTTGATCAGAAATATTTGTTTTTGGTGAAAAAATGTAACTTTGAAATTATGATTGTTTCATGGAAAGCAACATAACGTTAAAATAGAATTTTAATTTTGAATCAGAGTGGGAAAAAAGAAGAAAATCAAGACATTTTTATGCCAAATAAGACTGAAATGAAACCCTTTTTAAGCTCCAAATGTTGCTTGTTTTTATTGAAAATGAACAAAAAAGTTAACTAAAAGAGATGATTTTTAGAACTATCAAAAGTGCTCACTGGAAACGCTGGTACTGTACAATTGTTTTTCTGTAATAAATCTCTCTCCATCTTCAAATAAACCAAAAGAACCCTGTGTCTCTCCTGCAGCTTACAACCCCGAGCAACATGTAAAAGGATATAATATAAATTTCCTGTTATTACATCAATATCTCTCTTTTTGCTTCTAGATTAGATTAAACTGCCTGATATTGTCTTTCCTTCTGTGCTCCTCCCAGTGCATTTAAAAGCTGTGGTTACAGCCGTGGGGGAAGGATGTGTGTGTGTAGAGGAGGGGGAATTGATTTCTAATGGATGGGGGCTGTTTTATTTCCACCTAACATTTGAAGAAGACCCCCTCGGCATGCAGGAGTACAAAGTTGACGCTCACTTATTAATGTGACAGGGCCAGGAAGTGGACCTCACATCCTCGATGGATGAAGCTCAGGGGCCGAGCTTTACTGTCCCATATCAACTAAATGCTAGTTTTCATAGTTTGTGACAATATATAATGATAAATATCAGATATTTATTGTTATCTATTATTTTTATTTGGCTTCAAGCAGTTCAATTTGATCTAAGTCTTTATGAAAGCAGCAATCAGTCCAAGAAAAGAAGAAAAACAGAACCAGTGAGCATTATTATGTCCACTCACAGTCAGCGATTATATAATCAGAATCGGCTTTCCATGTATGTTTGCACATACATGGAATTTGTCTCTGGTTACACGTTGCTCCTCAGTCATACATAGATATACAAATGAACAGAAATCTTAAAAAATATATGAAAAAAGACATTAAGAACACCAAAAGAGAACACAAAAAATAAGTGTAAATATTTACTGATATGTACAATATGAATATGAAGGTGGTAGTAGACCAATATAAATATGCAGTGCAAGTATTGCAGATTTTAAAGGATTTGACCGGTGTGTGATACCAACGGGACAGAAATGCTCATCAATCAGTAAACAATCTGTAAACCGCACAAGGATCCAATGGCCGAGGCCCAGGGGGCGTTTCTTCAGACGCCAGTCATCCAGGCGGCAGGCGAAATGATGGAGAGGCGGAACAGCGGCAAGTTAGACATATACAAAAGAACAAAACCGGAAGTCTATGGGTTATTTTTCAAAACAAAACATCGTAGAGGAGTGATGGCTAATGCTTTTTTTTAGAATGTATCGTCCCAGATGAGATAAAACACAACTGTATTTTATTCACTTCATATTGATGTTAAAGTGACACGCATGTGTCATATATATAACTCGTTGCAATTAAGCAAACCGATTCAGTAACTTTATTCTGAATACCCTAAACGGAAGTTACTTCCACCGCTGGCTAACTTCATTCTACGCAATGGAACATAGCGACCAAACTATCGGTTAGCAGCTGGGAGTAGCGTTACTTTGCTGTGGGGATTCCTGCCTAATGTTGTCTTTTTGTTAACTTTTTTTTTTGGTTTGTAAGGAACGGGAGGTGCGCGACAAGCCCGGATCCGTACCGGGTTATGCCTCAGTCCTGAGCCCCCCGGCGCGCTGTACCTGCGCGGCAAATGTGTCAACGGGCGAGCAGCGGTTTCCGCTCGCGCGGTGTTGTGACGGCTAGCCGTTGTCCGCTAGCAGGCGAGCTAGCTAGCTAGCTAGCTCGTATGGATGGTGTCGGGTACCGCCACGAAGAGGGTGATAATTAGCGCTGGGAGCGGGCTGTACTCTGCTCGGCGGCTGGTCTGTTGTGGGCAGATTCGCCACCTCTTAACGCCGGCCACTTTCCGGATAATGCTCTGGATGTCACAGCGAGGTGAGTGCCACACGGGCGCAGTTTTGCACGTTAAACCCGTTAGCCTAGCAGCTGAATCGCTCTGGTTAGCGGGGAGCAGCGGCGCGGTCTATTCCCCGGATCCAGAGACGTGCCACCGATTACTCAACGTTTTACAAAATATTCATGCGAGTGTTAGTTTCAGCCGGTGTTTCTCGGTGCCACTTCTGTAGACCGCGTGGTTCGTGTGACCCGTCCCAACGTAACGTCACAGCTTCGCTGACAACGTTTGAATGCGCACATTCATATTTCTTTTGAATTTTCAAACATCCCAGGGTAGCTTTCCGAGCCAGTAAATAGCCGCCGCCCCGGCACGCCGTGCTGGCAGGAGAAGGGGTGTCGCTGGAGTCCTCCACACATTCTTACACACGAACAAAGTGCCGGCGCAGATAAACTGGCTTGTTTTCATATCTAGGCTGCTTAAACCGACGGTTGGCAATGAAAGCTGTAAACTACACGAAGCTTCGTTTCGCCGTAGACCGTCAGAGACGTTCGGGGAATCAGCAACGTTACTCCGGAATGCCGCGACAGTTACAGTTACTGCTGCTGCTCCACTGACTTTTGTCTGTATTTTGCAGGAGGACCAGAAAATGGAAATATTATCTTAACATCAAGTCGATTACTCAACGTGTCAGAAACATGGAGTGAATTCCTTCACACCACCATGCACGCATCTGGCCGTTTTTAAAGACCAGCTGCCGCGACTGGATGTGCAGCCTAATCTGTCTTCATCCGATGTGCTTCCGGTGAAACATTAATTATGTGTCCGCGGCGGTCGGATATGCGGAGATTCCTATAAACAGTAGCGTGGATTCGTGCAAAGGAAGCCCGAAGAGGGAAGTGCAGGACGGGATAGGTACACAGACGCTACCCGTTCCCGAAGAAACATGGCCTCGGTGTGGAAGAGACTGCAACGTGTGGGGAAGCATGCCTCCAAATTCCAGTTTGTGGCTTCCTATCAGGAACTGATGGTGGAATGCACCAAGAAATGGTGAGTTGTGTTTTTTTTTGGGGGGGGTGGGGGGGTCACAGTGGTGTCAATTAAGAAGGCGTGGAATGCCGAGCTCTTTGCTGGTGGCCATAATACACACACACACACACACACATATTCAGTCTCCTTGGTGTGCAGGCATGTCTGCATGCTGGGAGGGGCCAGGCCTCCTTGTAAAAGTGCTCTGTTTTTTTTCTCTCTTGTGCGCTGAGATGTAGAATTGGTTTGGTTTGAGTCGCAAAAAGAGGGTTTCAGGGAGAAAGATTTCCCTTCCGTCGACCCGAAAGGGGCTTGGTTCAAGCTGCCCCGCTCTCCGTGCGTGTCCTTGAGGAAACCGCTAAACGCTCACCAGCTGCAGGGATGCTCTCGGGAATCCCGACTTCTGATCCCGTTGGAAGTAGAAAAGCAATGAGACGACTACTAATCTTTTGGCTACTTTATCCTCAAACGGATCATTTGTTGTCATTCATAGTGTGTCTATCGGAAATATGACCTGCTGACTGTAAAGTCACTTATGTCTGATTACTTTATATTAATGTCTGTCCGTTTATTGCGATTTAGTATTTTGGTGTATAATGAAAAACAAGAAACTAAGTCAAGAGTCAAAATCTCTTGTTTCCCACAGGATTTTGTAGAAGTTGCATGGTGTGAAGGTATGCATTTATAATTAATAGATCACTTTGACAGCTTAATTAAAAGGATACTTATTTATATGAAGAACCTTGTTAAATCCCCTGGGCAGACTGCGGACCTCACCCTTTTGAAAAAGAGAAAATATCTTTGTCTCTTTGCAAAGCTTTGACTGGACTAATTAGACTGAGAAATATTTCATGGGAAACATTGGATATAATAAAATATCCAGGTCGTAATAAGATTTATTTTACATTACAGGTCATTTAGCTGACGCTTTTATCCAAAGCGACTTACACTGTAAACCCATGGCGTTGTTGGGGAGCAATTAGGGGTTAGGTGTCTTGCTCAGGGACACTTCGTCTTGAGACATGGGGCAGCCTGGGACTCGAACCACCAACCCTGCGGTTCCCAGTGCACCCGCTCCACCCCCTGCACCGATTTTATTGACATTAACACAATAAGTTGGAAACCGTGTTCGAAACAATCCCACTGATTTGATCCAAACAGTTTGTTCAGCTTCTTGTTCCACAGACTCCAAGCCAATTGTGTTGTAAACAGTTAACGGCATGCTATAGCGCCGTGCATGCCACACTGCAGCCTGCAGGTATGTGTCCCGTAATGAGTGAAGAGCAGAGACTTGTAAGATGAAGCCCGCGGGCGTGGATCGAGAAGCGGCCCGCCGTAGGCGTGACCAAGGCAGCCCCACAGAGCTGAGACCTGGGACAGATGTTAACGTGTTTGAGAATGGAATGAGAAAAATGTACATCTCTTCCCAGAGCAAGGGGTGGGTGGGCGACGCGCACTGTCGCTGATATGCTTTGTTTGGCAATCGGAGCAGAAGTCTTTTGTTATTTTAAGGAAGAAATATGTATGTTTCGTAATTTAGCTCTTATGTCCAATTGTTTGTGATAAAGAGATAGTAGAAGTGGTGTATACCTCCACGCCCGAGGTAGTGCTGTAAGTGCAGCCTGAGGGCCTCTGCTCGGCTTCCACGGTGTGTGTTTGTGTGCGCACATCTGGCTCCAAGTGTGTGTTGGCGGACATTTCATCAGTACGGTATGTTTTTGCTGCAGTGGAAACTTTCCATCCACGCAGACTGGAAACAGTCCCCAGAGCTCAAATGAATCTCAAATCCTGAAGCCTTCACAAGTAATTCTTGACGACTCAGAGCTATTTAACTTCTGGCTTGAGTCACAGGAGGAGAACACTTGCTGTGTGCCCAAACATAGAGCGGTGGGTGATTTGAACGTATCTCGCGTGGAAAGCGAAAGTATATATGGCATGCTTGGATAACACGGCTCAATAGAATAATCTCTTCAAACAATTGGTTGGTAAGAAGTTCAACGGTCTCTCAGAGCCCCGGTATCCTCAATCAGAAATGGTTCATTCCTTTGTACGAACAACCACGTCTGAAGTTAAACAGCCACATTTGAAGGTGTAGTGAGAAGTTGGCCGTCGTAGAGAGAGGTGCAATGCAAAGTTGTTTAATATGGGGTTAAAGATTCTTTTCACAACGTCTCTCTCTAAGGTTAGATGTGATATGTCAGCACTTCAGAGAAGCTTTTGATTGTTTTTCCTTCTCTTTAAGCTTAAGATCCTTTTTTAAGATGTTTATCCTTGAAATGGGAGTAATGAGAGCGAGCATGCGTCCAGCATTGGGCTCGTCCTCTCCCATATATGTGTGGTTGTAAAGTCACCGTTTGCTCTTTAGTCTAGTTGCTGTGGTTGACTCCTCTGGATCAGAGGGAGATAACGTCCCTCTTACACGCCCAAATCCTGACTCCACCGTCAGTTCAGACCAACCATTGAAACATGAATGACTTTCAGTGTTTGCTGGTGAAGTGAAGCTCCATTAACAGTGTAGCGGCATCTAAATAATCCAACAGTGTTTTCTGTCAAATTTCATCACTCGCAGATAATTAGCAGGTTAAGGACCCCATGTTGAAAAGGAACCGAGCCTCCAGTCGCATATTTCTGTTTCTAGGCCAAATTCGGTTCATCTCCAATATTCCACACCAGCATGTTTTTGTGGTTGTACAATCTATTCTTTGTTGACTTTTTGGTGACTTGCGCTTCATTTAGATGCACATGCTGTGATATTTGCTAACCGTAGCCCATATTGCTCATTAATGGAGCAATCAGTCGGTCAGACATTCACATTTAACAAATAAACCAACAAGAGGATGTAAAATCTGTCCAGGCTCAGAGATACTAATTTTACTTTTGTAATTAAGGCTTAAACAAATATACATGTATACTTTTGTGATGGAGCCGTTTACGGTCTGCCTGCTTTAATGGTTTAATATCCAACTTGGACTATTCATCGCCACCCGTCTCGTATTCATAAACTGGTGGGCGACCGTCGTCTGTATCATACATACAGCTGTGTGTTGTGTGGAAGAGCCTGTGCGTTTCCCTGCTGGGGGAGCGACCCCCACAGCACAAGGCAGCTCGGTGTGACTTTAAGCACGAATGCTTTTAGTATTCCCCCGAGGCTGCTGAGCAAGAATGTGTTGCCAGTCAACCAGTCTGATGAAATATAATACGAAAACAAAGTCAAAAGCCAACAAGTGTCATCGCTGCTGGCAAACGTGTCGGCACGCGTGCAGAGGATACGAGAATAATCCGCTGGAAAGGACACAGAGACGCTATTGATTACATGGTAATTCTATCGGGCTGTAGGCAAGCGTGGCTAATCGAGACGGCATGAAACACACGGGTGGTGGATGTCTCCATATCAATCAGGGACTGTGCAGAACACACACACACACAGGTTAGTCATTTCCTAGGGAATTAGAAACTTTAAACACACACTCTCGCTCTCGCTAGACAAGCAGATTGACACTTCTCCACAAAGTGTTTTTTACTTCATTCGGGACACAAAATTGATGGGAATCTTTCAACTTGCAATGGAAACAGCAGTGACCCATTACAATACAAATGTCAGACAATTATTATATTGTAAATGTTATAATTCTTTCGTGTCCCATCAAAGGCAAACCAGTAAGTTGGCAAAATAGAGGAGATACATTGGCCAAATATTCTTGTCAGTTGGACAGTGTTTGCTGACCAGTGTGTGTCAGTGTGTGACGTTGTCCTGCTGTCGAACACGTCGACCTTGTGCCAAGAGTCCATCATGTCACCAGGGAAACATCTTCCTGCCAACTCTTCCTGTAATGCACGCGTGTAATTGTTTACAGCTTCTTTGGTTTCTCAAAGTGTTTCACTGTTGTGTAATTGTGTAAAGTCCCTGGTTTGTCTTTGTTTCCTCGTGTGTCTCTGATTTGGACATTTTAGCTGATGTCATTCATTGGGACCAACAAAAGCACGTTTTCATAGCTGAGACACTAGTTGTCATTTTTGTTTTCACAATTATTCATTTCCTCCTGTGATGATGCGCTTGCTCTGCTCCACCATGCTCACTGCTCTCCTCTGAGGAAACAATGCTTCCCTTTCCATTTTCTTCTGCCTCCTTCTCTGTACCACTGTCATCGCCCCCCCTCCCTCTCTTCTTTTATTACTCCCCCGCTCACCTCTTTCCTCCTTCCCATTTATGTCACTTTAACTCTGCAGCAGAATCCGCCCAAGTGAACTCGTTCTGCGCTGCAATTATAGACAAAATGAGCATTTACACCTCCCCTAGTGTCTTACTCTGTGAAGCAAAGGGGTTGTCTGCAAGCTAGTAAAGCCCTTCTTTATTACCTGCAGACCAAAGGGAAACTCCCCGATCGGTCGCTGCGGTAATGTACCTTTTTGGCACAACCATCCTAAATTCTTTCATTCGGTTACTGTGTCACACTTCCTTCTGCAGACCCCTCAGACACGTTGGGTCGCATTATGCTCCCGTCTCAATGATTCATTGAAGGAAACAAAGACCAGCTCAAACTCATCGTCTGTTATAAACACCCTTTTCTCCGCTGGGCAAAAGAACCTTTTGCGAACAATTAACATCGTTGAAGTTCTCGTCTGACTGTTCACATCGTTGCCTAAAAGCTGCGTGTTTTCTGCGGTCGGGGCGTCTCAGGCACATGGTGGCTGGGATTCCCGCTGTGTCGCTTCAGGCCGTTGGTGAGCGCTCACAGGAAGAGTTGTTGTTGTTGTTGTTAAGGCAGGGGAGAGTTTTATGTTATTCAGCCGCAGAAAGACGGAAAGCTTCCCCTCATTCCCTTCTTTACTTTGGTGATGCTCCCAAACACATGATCCAGCTGAGTGATGATCTCCTCCTCAGACTCCCTGTTCTGTCGTGTCGTGTGGAAGAAAGGTCTATGTTTAGTACTCTTTTATCAAATTACCTTTAAAACCGCATTTATTTAGTTACTAATGATTATTCTACTCCTTCACCTGTCTTGCTCCAGACTTTGTGCTGA